TACAGAATCTTAAACTGTAGTGCAGACTTCAGTTTATGTACATGTTACAGTGCAAATACAATTCCTTGGTTGTTTTGAAAGCTGTGTAAGAATCTTATACAGTGGATCGTCCTATGCTTAAATGTCCTTTTTTCCATCTTCAAAAGACAGGAGCATGGTTTTGAGGAACCACAAAGCATAGAATGTACTTATCTTTCCTTGTATCCTCCCCATAAATGGCATCTACTTCTCTTTCTTTGCTGAGGTGTTATTTTTAGAAATAATGTATATTATCAGAAATAATAGCCCCATATACTTTAGACTGTTTTACCTCAAATGTCTTGACATCTCTTCAGTAGCTTCTCAGTTAAATGTCTCTGATGGAGACACAGACTTCTGAAGTGTAAAATACGAAGATGCACATCTAGAGATAATTGATGGCAGGTAAGTACCATTTTCTTTGTTCTGACTTCCTTAATTAAAGAATTAATTAAGAAGAATATAAGCCTTCCTTATATTAAAGAAGAATCCTTATATTAAAGAAGAAGGATTGTTTAAGTAGCTTTTCATTTATGTAGCGTTGTCTTTTATTTCCCGGGAGAGGTATGGAGTATGTATGCGTGTGTATTTTATTTTGTTTTTTCGGCGTTCTGGAAAGTACTGACTGAAGCTACCAAAGACTAAGATAATAGAATGGGTGAAAATAAAGTAGAAAATATTAAAATATATTATTTCAAACTTAAATTTAGACCCCAAAGGATGGATCTCAAAAATATTACTGTGCTTTAGGAAATTAAATTTTTTGTGCCACTTCAGAATTTCTAAAATATTATCCCACTAGAATCTTAACTGTGTTCTTGTTAAAATTGTTTTTATTCAATTTCTCTTTTTGCTAATAAGCTCTTCTACATATAATATTACTAGGAGATTGTACATAATTTATTTCCTAAATTTTCCACCTCTGAGTTTCAGTATATGTTTTCGTAACTATTTGATACATTTCCTCTTATCCGGTTGATCTCTTTCATAAATTATTTGGCTTGTGTTCAGTACTGTTTGGTTAATAATCAGACATATAAGTCTGAAATTTTCCCATGAAAACAGGACTGTATGCCAGTATTAATTGATCCTTTTCCTTTCTGTGCATCTCTATCCAGCATACTCGGAAAAATGAAGATTTGATCTCTTACAGCGGATACGACTCTATGTCCCTAATAGATTTTGACCTCCCCTTGCTTCCAGAAGAGGAGAGGGGGAACATCAACATTTTTGGGAAAAAAAATGTTACTTCAACCAATTCACAAAAGGTGATTTATGGATAATTAATTTTAATATAGAGAATGTCATTTGTGTGTTGTTTGCTCCAAAGACAATGTAATGGAATACAGTATCTATTTTTCTTGAACTTGTTTTGACCTGATCCAGGTGAAATCATCACTCACTGTGGTCTCCCTGTTATGGTTTCAGAGGAAGAAGCAGTAAAGGCTACAACCTCTCTGTAGGCACTAGAACTGCCTTCTGTGGCTTCACATGAGGAACAGGAAACGTTGGCCTTCCCTCAGCCTGCTGTGTCCTTGTTGGCTTGGAATCTGTTGGACTGATCTCCCTTATGCAGACAGCTACCCTGAGTTGATTTTTTTTTTATTTTAGGCAATTCTGAATTGCCTTTTTTGTCAGCACAATGCTACATAAGGTGGTTGAGCCTTGCTTCTCCAAGCATCCAACCCTTCACACAAACTTCACACCCTTCAAACCCTGCACACATTTAATTGCTGCTTCGAGATGGTGAACATTCCCAACTGAATGTGAGAAATACCAATACTGTCTTTTATCTACAGCGTTTTCACCTATGAGGGGTGAGAGACTATCAACTGACACTTGGTTGAGGGAGGGGGCAGCGGGGAGTTGCTGGGCAAGAAATTGCTATCTATCTTGTGGGTATTAAATACGGGGGTTTTGTTTGTTATGCTTATTTTTAATCTTTAAGATAACTTACTTACTTAAGAGGAGGAGACTAATGTCCTGGCATTCCTTAGGGACACAAGCAGCTGATTTCATAAGCTAGTGGATGTTTGCCATTGTAAGATGACTTTGAAGAAAGTAAAAGGAAAACCAAGGGAAACAGTAAGCCAAAGCCCAAACTGCATTAAACCATCTCACCTGAGAGCCGACCCAGTGGGTAGAAGTCTGGTCAAACACTGTGTGTGTGTTGGGGCACTGCCTAGAGTACCTTGAACCAGAGACAACTTTGTTCAAGGGAGGTTTTTTTTCCAAACCATGGCCAGCTTTTCAGGAACTTTCAATTTATGGCCTTTCTTTCTAACAATGTGATCCTGAAACAACTGTTGAATTGCTGAAACTTTTTACATTGAGCTGATGAAAGAAAAAATTATTGTTTATTTTCTTGAGGCAGCAGTACCTTTCATTACTTGGAAAGGTCAACTTCCCTTCCCTTTGAAAACAAACAAACAAAAAAAACCACTTCTCTTTGCAGCAACATAAATTGGCAAGGCAACACAGTTTCCAAAACATCAAATCTATGATTATTTAACAATAAATTTTAGAAGAGGGCTCACCTGGGACTTGGACCATGCCGCTCGTGGATCATGCCACGAGTTTAGGAGTTGGACTCAAAGTTTTAGACTTACTAACGTGGGTTTTTTGGAGTTGTCTTTAGAGAGTGGCAGTGTAGAGGGGA